TATATATATTTATTTATTTTTTGTTTGTTTTTTGTTTCAGCCTGACTTATTTTTGGTTTTAAAAATTTTATTTCAGTGCACCTCTACTAAGGCTATATAGCTTATATTTAATACAGTATTTAATACAGTTTATATTTAAATATGCTAATGTATAGCCAATTATAACCAGACTGTGCTAAATATACACCAGCCATAACATTATTACCACTGAGAGCTGTTGATTATCACGTTACCTGGCACAACTTATTTTTGGTTTTAAAAATTTTATTTCAGTGCACCTCTACTAAGGCTATATAGCTTATATTTAATACAGTATTTAATACAGTTTATATTTAAATATGCTAATGTATAGCCAATTATAACCAGACTGTGCTAAATATACACCAGCCATAACATTATTACCACTGAGAGCTGTTGATTATCACGTTACCTGGCACCTGGAAGTAGATGGGATATACTAGGAAGCAAGTGAACATTTTATCCTTGAAGTTGATGTTTTGGAAAATAAGTGTATGGATTTGAGCGGCTTTGACAAGGGCCAAAATGTGAAGACTAGACAACTGGGTCAGAGCAACCCCAAATCTGCAGCTCTTGTGGGATGTTCTTGGTCTGCAGGGGTCAGGACTCACTAAAGTGGTCCAAGGAAGGAAAACCGGTGAACTGGCGACAGGGTCATGGGTGGCCAAGGCTGATTGATGCATATGGGGTGCAAAGGCTGGCCGTGTAGTCCAATCCAATGGAAAAGCTACTGTAGCTCAGATTACTGAAAAAATTAATGCTGGTTCCAATATAAAGGTGTCTGAACACACAGTGCACCACAGTTTGTTGCAAATGTGGCCGCGTAGCCACAGACCAGTTAGGGTACCCATGCTGACACGTGTCCACTGCAAAAGGCTACAGCGGGCATGCAAGTATGAGAACTGGACCAAGATGCAATGGAAGAAGGGGACCTGGTCTGATGAATCACGTTTTCTTTTACATCTACAAGGCCGGGTGCATGTGTGTCCTTACCAGGCAATAGGCAGAGGCAGTGTGATGCTTTGGGCAATGTTCTGCTGGGAAACCTTGGGTTCAGCCATTTATTTGGATGTTACTTGCACGTACCACCTACCTAAACATTGCTGCTGATCAAGTACACCTCTATGGAAACGGTATCCCTTGATGGCAGTGGGCTCTTAGCAGGAAAATGCACCTGGCCACACTGAAAAAATGGTTCAATAATGGTTTAAGAAACACAATGAGTTCAAGGTGTTGACCTGGCCTCCAAAGTCTCTAGATCTCAATCCAATCGAGCATCTTTGTGATGTACTGGAAAAAGCCAGACTCGGCACTGATGCCTTGGTGCCAGATACCACAGGATACCTTCAGCAGTCTAGTAGTCCATATCTCGACAGGTCAGGGCTGTTTTGGTGGCAAAAGGGGGACCTACTGAATAGGCGGGTGGTCATAATGTTATGGCTTATTGGTGAATGAGGGTACGCACATCCCACTTAGATCATACAAAATTCTGCTATATTATATAAAACCCTTACATCCTGCTCTATACTAAGCCCAAGAAATTTAGTGTAATATTCTCAGCCGCGCACTTTAAATTATATAAACAATCAGTGTATAAAGATTAATAAAAGTGGGTCTAAGTAAAAACAAATTTACAAAATTCTGCTATAGAAATCTAAATATCGGAGACCTAATTTATGTTTCTCCCTTTAATTCTTTTGAGGTGTCTGAAGAACCATATGATGATCCAGGCCTACACTCTCCAATTGTTGTACACGTTGGTCGCGTTGGCTGAATGCAGGCGCTGGACTAACTAGTTGTAGGGGTAATTCCTCCTGGGTACCCATTGTTACAATCATTATTTCTGTACTTATAGGATGTATGCTAAATTGTATTTTCTAACAGCTAAAAGTGTGAAGTGCACTTGGATCGATGTAGATACAACCCTGTCTGGGACATACCATTTGTCTCTGACTTACTCTTAGGAACCTCAGTAAAAACCTTAATTTTTCTTAGCAATAGTGCAGTAACTCAAATCAAAATTATTACCAAAAATAACAAATTATGGATATTTTTGTAGATCAAAAATACCTAGTTTGTTATTTATTAATGAAATGCATATGTGAGGCTTTTTGTCATAATTTCTTATCAGAAATACAAGGGTTAGACTGCTAACTACTTTGGAAAAACAAACCTGTCACTGCAAATTGCTCCCTATGTGATAGCAATAAAGTTCAGTGAAGAAAAAAAAAAAGGTTTAAAAAAATTTAAGCTACAAAAAATAAAATAATAAAATCACATATCAAAGCAATAGCGTATATACTCGAGTATAAGCCGTCCCGAATATAAGCCGAGGTACCTAATTTTAGCAAAAAAAACTGGGAAAAAGTATTGACCCGAATATAAGCCGAGGGTGGGAAATGAGGCAGCTACTGGACAGCCATTTATTTGGATGTTACTTGCACGTACCACCTACCTAAACATTGCTGCTGATCAAGTACACCTCTATGGAAACGGTATCCCTTGATGGCAGTGGGCTCTTAGCAGGAAAATGCACCTGGCCACACTGAAAAAATGGTTCAATAATGGTTTAAGAAACACAATGAGTTCAAGGTGTTGACCTGGCCTCCAAAGTCTCTAGATCTCAATCCAATCGAGCATCTTTGTGATGTACTGGAAAAAGCCAGACTCGGCACTGATGCCTTGGTGCCAGATACCACAGGATACCTTCAGCAGTCTAGTAGTCCATATCTCGACAGGTCAGGGCTGTTTTGGTGGCAAAAGGGGGACCTACTGAATAGGCGGGTGGTCATAATGTTATGGCTTATTGGTGAATGAGGGTACGCACATCCCACTTAGATCATACAAAATTCTGCTATATTATATAAAACCCTTACATCCTGCTCTATACTAAGCCCAAGAAATTTAGTGTAATATTCTCAGCCGCGCACTTTAAATTATATAAACAATCAGTGTATAAAGATTAATAAAAGTGGGTCTAAGTAAAAACAAATTTACAAAATTCTGCTATAGAAATCTAAATATCGGAGACCTAATTTATGTTTCTCCCTTTAATTCTTTTGAGGTGTCTGAAGAACCATATGATGATCCAGGCCTACACTCTCCAATTGTTGTACACGTTGGTCGCGTTGGCTGAATGCAGGCGCTGGACTAACTAGTTGTAGGGGTAATTCCTCCTGGGTACCCATTGTTACAATCATTATTTCTGTACTTATAGGATGTATGCTAAATTGTATTTTCTAACAGCTAAAAGTGTGAAGTGCACTTGGATCGATGTAGATACAACCCTGTCTGGGACATACCATTTGTCTCTGACTTACTCTTAGGAACCTCAGTAAAAACCTTAATTTTTCTTAGCAATAGTGCAGTAACTCAAATCAAAATTATTACCAAAAATAACAAATTATGGATATTTTTGTAGATCAAAAATACCTAGTTTGTTATTTATTAATGAAATGCATATGTGAGGCTTTTTGTCATAATTTCTTATCAGAAATACAAGGGTTAGACTGCTAACTACTTTGGAAAAACATTAAACAGGAATAGATCTCTACATCATTTTAACTGTCAACATTGTTATTAAACGGGTACAATTATGGCTGATGTTTTGTGAGTTTATGTAAAAATACTTTTTTTTTTTTAACTATGATACAAAACACGTCATCTTTTTCTAATTTCTTAGCTTTAACAGTGAGTGGCTGGATTACATGCATTAGCTTTTTTAAAATCTGGGTTATTTTATTTTTAGAATCTTGTATTTCAGGAGTTTTACATTAGTGGATTAATTCCAAAAGTATATCTGAATATATTTTAAATGATTTCCTTGGGAAATTTCCCCTTTTACGCTACAAAAATCAGTTTTCATATAATGGATATAATAAAAATCAAACCTGTAGTACTTATAAAAGTTATAAACTAAGAAACGTGTGCCAGAGCTGACAGCCTGAGGCCTTGTTCACACCAAGCGCATTCCAGGAGCAGAACAGAGCAGTTACAGACGGGGGAAAACTGCGTCCAATGTATTCCAATGGTATTTTTAGCTCCAGTTCACATCGCAGCATTCCGTTCCAGAGCAGGTCCAGAGCAGGTAAAAATATTGCAGCGGGCCCTATTTTACCTGCTCTGGAACGCATGCAAACGCATCAAAAACACATGCAAACGCCCTGGAACACACTGAAAGCCCATTTTCTTTTCTTTTTTCTTTTGTTAACTTGCTTACGCCACTCCTCTACTGTGGGTGAACTGGGGGACGTCCATTTAAAGGCAATCAATTTTCTTGCTAAAAACAAAGGTCTTATAATAGTATCCATGAATCCTGGGATCTGTTTTTCTTCTTCAACATAATTTAGGAGACAGAGTCTAGGATCCAGGGGTAACTTGACTCTAAATACTTGATTAATAAAATACATTTTACCTTCCCAATATCTAAACAGTTTGGGGCATCTCCAAAGCATATGGATCAAATTAGCCTCCTCACTCCTACATCTAGGGCAGTTCCCAGTCTCCTGTCTACCCCATCTAAACAACTTCAGGGGAGTATAGTAAGTACGGTGCAATATAAATAATTGAGTCAGACATTGACTAGAGGAGAGGGAGGATTTGGATTTAAAGGTGTTTACCAAAACAGCTGACCAAGCCTCCTCCGTAAATGCTCCCATTTCCTCCAAACCTTTCCTACACAATGTCAATGTCCTATCATTCGACCATGAACTTAATAAGCCTTCATACAATCTAGATATTGCACCCCTCTTATAATTAGATTTTGCAACGATAGTCACTAATGGAGTGTTAATAACGTTAAGATTTCGGGAATGTTTCCGAGACTCCAAAGCATGTCTTAATTGTAAGTATTCAAAAAATTGAATATTAGGCAATTGAAAATCTTCCCTCGGCATTTCAAATTATTTCAAATTACCCTGTTCAAATAGCTGATATACGAATTGCAATCCTCCATGTCTCCAACTCTCAAAGTCTACCAATTTCTGCAATTCTGGTAAATACGAGTTAAACCATATCGGAGTAACCTAGGTAACACCTTCATATTTCATTATTGATTTCATCAATTGCCAGGCTTTAGCCATCATAGACAATGTAGGATATTCTGAACGAGACGAGATAATACCTGCTTCTAACTGAGAGAGAAGAGGATATTTAGATGACAGAAACAACAAAATTGCTTGAACTGGATCTTCCTCGTGGCCGATGGCAGAGCGGCATAGTGATCGGAGCCGCTGTCATCCTGTCAGTTTTTGAATGACAGCGGCCCTGTAGCGTGGCCGAGCGGGGAATCGATAAATATCATTTGATATCTATCGATCCTCCTGTGCAGAGCAAACACCGGAGCGGTCGTCTGATCACTCTGGGGTTTGTAAATAACTGGGGACACATAGTACTATGTGTCCCCAGTTATGAATGAACAGGCTGTGATTTACATCACTTCCTGGTCATTCATAAGTTTATGAATGGGGACTAGCACTCACTACAGAGGCTCCTCCCCATTCATAAACTGTTGATAGTAAAATATTTTTACTGTCATCAGTTTCTGAATGAATTTGCCCTCAATTTCTTTTTCTATTTCAAAAGGGAAATGTCAGGGGTCTGTTTAGACCCCAGATATTTCACCGTAGCCCCCCCAATAGTAAAATAAATAAATAGAATTAAAAAATAAATAAGAAATGTTTTTAAAAAAATTAAATAAATTAATATTGTAAAAAAAATGTAAAAAAAAACACAACCCCTCCCTCCCCCCACACACATAACATACACGGGCACCATATTGTGGTGTACGCCATGCACATGCGCTGCAGTGCATTGTTATAACGCATTGCAGTGCATGATTTTTTAAATCATTAAAAAAACATGAATTTACCTGTGGCAGCACATGGCAAAGCTTTGTGACGCATTGCCATGCGTTGTGATACCTTGTGTTGCAATTAAATATACGCCTGTATCATTTTATAAAAACACAAACACCAACACAGCGTAAAAACAATTTTTAACATAAGTCGCTTATTTACTGTTTTGTGTACCTTCATTTTTTTACCTTTTCGCAAAAAGGTGCAATTTCACATTTGCAAATATTTGTTATTTATTAACTCAATACAGTTTTATCTTTTAGATTTAGTCAGAAAATTATTATTTTTTGTGCGCCGATACTGATTTTAGTGTGTTTTATCAATTGAATTGTGTATTTTTATCGGTTTAATATTAATTTGAGAAACATTTGCGCAATTATCGCAGGGCCTACAAATTTAGTATCACCATCTTTTTATTCTACCGGGCCTGCGCTTTCAGAAAATATATGGTTTGGGGGGTCTTTTACAAACGCTAGCAACGCAGCAGTTGAAAATCAAATCAATAGGAAAAAATTGCAGAAAATTCAAAAATGGCTTGGCCAGCTGATTTGAAAAATTTTCCGGAGGGCTTGGCAGCAAAAAGGTTATTAAACACTCAGCTTTTTTACATGTATCTACTGCTAGCAAGCAGTAGATATATGCAATAACCTTAAAACAAAAAAGTTTTACAAGAGGTTAATACCTACCTGGGTCTTCGCTGCGCGCTCCCATCCGAAAAATCTTGGGCGGCCGCAAAGGATCTTGGGGCGGGCACATGCCTTGTTCAGATTTTTGGTCGGGAGACGAGGAGAGACACAAGGTAAGTCTATGGACAGAGTGCATCCGCATGCAGACACCATGGGACAGGAAGTGCCAGCAAGCACAGAGGAGTCAGCGCTGGATCGGAGACCCGCAGCAGCGCTGGAGGGACATCTGAAAATGACTGGAAAGAAGATCGGAGTAAGAGACATCATTTAAGGTAAGTGCTTACACTAACATTGGGGGGGG